CTGGACAATCAGGGACCACTCATCACTAGCTACAGAGGACCCCAAGCCTCGATCATCTCAGACTTCTGGTTAAACAGAATTCTCAAGACAAAGAGATGTTTTCTCAGTGAAAGGTCCCAAGAGCTGCAAATAAAACTCAATCAGACTAAAGGGAAGTCACTGGATAGGGTGTGAGTTTCTTGCTGGCAGGGACCATGTCCAGCAAGGTCATTACTAGTCCTCAGCTACATTGTACCATACAAGGTCTGTGATTTACATCCAATGAATATGTGTACAATAATTTCATAGGAGGCCAAAAAACACAGGTTTATTGTTTGCATGGTTGAGTATGTGATGCATCGTCCCATGAAAACTGGAAAAACAGACTGGATCTAGGGGAAGACATACCAAAAACATAAGCAGCAGCATCCTATGGGTTTGAAGGAAACAGAGAAAGTAAGCTGAGTCTGACCAGCACTAAGAACACCCTGGTTCTGCTACTCAGCAGCTCTGTCATCCTCTTAAGCCTCAGTTTCCCCATGGAATGAAGACTTATCAATATTCCCACCCTTCTTTACAGCAAGATTTGTTACTGAGCTGTTGAAAGCATCACATTCTGATGCTTTTAGCTGTGAAACTACCTGTACATGACCTCAGAGCCCCTCCTATAACTGCCTTTATTCAGATAGAAACTGTGGACAAAATGTATTTCATAGAATGGGATGGTTACTACTGCTTGCTAGATTGTCTGGTCCTAGAGCAGTGGTTCTCAGCCTTCCTCATGCAGCAACATTCAGTTCCACATGTTATGGTGACCACCAACAATTGCATTATTTTACTGCTACTTCAGAACTGTAATTTTGCTGCTGTTATGAATCTGATATGCAGGGTATCTGATATGCAACCCCCAAATGGGTTTCAACCCACAGGTTGAGAACCACTGTTCTAGAGTGTCCTCGGAGACCAACCTCTGCCCATGGCAATGGGATTGATTGATCTAGGAAGACACCGAAACCATAAGCAGCAGCATCCTGTGGGTTTGAAGGAAACAGAGAAAGCAAGCTGAGTATCAGCATTTATCTCACTTGTTCTCAACCTGTGGGTCTCGACCCCTCCAGGGCAAAACTACCTTTCCAAGGGGGTTAAAAAAAAAACATTGAAAATACAGATTTACATTATGATTAATAACAGTAGCAAAATTACAGTTATGAAGAAGTGATGGAAATAATATTATGTTTGAGAGGGTCACCACAACATGAGGAACTGTTTTAAAGAGTCTCAGAGTTAGGAAAGTTGAGGGCCACTGCTCTAGTCCTATCTACTTCCTGACTATGGACACAATACGATCAGCTACTTCACTTTCCTGCTAACATGCCTTCCTTTTCATGGTCAGCATCCTCAAACTGTGAGCCAAAATAAACCCTTTCTTCTTTAAGCTGGTTTTTGTTGTTGTTGTTGTTATTGTTGTTGGTTGTTTGTTTTTTGTCACAGTAATGAGGAAGTAACTGATGCGTAGAGTTTATTTGATCAAAGCATGGCTCTCTCACAGGGCAGCACTTTGAAACAGAAAATGTCACACAGCTGTACTGAGGCAGCATGGGCAGTGAGCACGATACACTGAACACGGGGGAGATGGAAAATCCCCCTGGCTGGACAGAATGGAAAGACTCCAGGCAGAGAGTGACTGGTGGCTTCTGATCCACGACATCCTTAGTTTCATTTTACTGTTTCCCCTGAACGTCACTTTGGTGTGAAGCAAAAGGGCAGTCTCCGTCTACTGGCTTCTGTATTACTCTCTAGTGACAGAGCAAGGTGGAACCTAAAGTTCTAGTCACTTGGCCCTATGAATTACTCTGATTCCAAAGCTCCCTGTGAGGTCAGATGAGCTGTTACCACAGAGCCACCATTGAGATCCAGTTTAAGCACTCTTCCTCGTACAAACATTGACCTCCCTGGGGCCTCCCAACATCTATCCTGGACTTTGAACACTACCTCAAAGGCCGCTTCCTAGAGATGATTGCATAGGTCACGGCGAAAGCATGACCATAGAAATGTACCATAGAAAGTGCTGTGTATGTGAACCAGTGAGGTGATGGCCAGTCCTTTATCTAGATGTAAGGACCATGGTGCAGTTCACCACTAAAGAGGCCTCTACAGCATGTAACATTAGTCTCTGCTCCTGTCTGCCAGCAATATAGTATCCAACTGAACAAATTAAACACATCTAATATCCTGTAAGCATGAACTAGCTTTCTCTGTGAGCAAAGCCCAAAAGTACAGCCCAGAATATACATGATGGGTCTCCAGGCCCAGTGTTTTGTTTTTTGAATCTCCCAGTATTTCCTTTTCTTTCTTATTTTCTTTTTCTTTTCTTTTCTTTCTTTCTTTTTTTTTGTGTGTTTTTATTTCAAGATAGAGTTTCTCTGTGTAGTCCTGGCTGTCCTGGAACAAGCTCTGTAGACCAGGCTGGCCTCAAACCCAGAGATACACCTGCCTCTGCCTCCCAAGTACTGAGATGAAAAGCATGTGTCACCATGCCCAGTTATCAGCCAGTATGTTCTATTAGCTTTGCAATGCAAGGTTAGGAACATGCAAAAGGAAACACACCTCCTTGTCTCTTGGACTCACTTACTGACCGATCAGAAATACAACACTGTAACTTCTTGCATAGGACACAGCTCTATGCCCAGTCTGAATGCTTGGAGTTCCCAAAGTGCCTGCTGGATAGGGCAAGCTAGATTCCTATATCAAGTTCATGCAATCTAACTTCTGCTTCCCCTTAAAACCTTTGATGGCACTGGAAGCTGGAGAGAGGAAAAGAAAGGTCAATGTGTAACCAAAGAGACATAAAGGCTTCCAAGATCTGACCATATCCTTTATTCGGGGGAGCCCAGTTCTTATCTGAAGAAGCTAACCAACTGAGGAGTTCCTATGTGCTTGTGTGTGTGTGTGTGTGTGTGTGTGTGTGTGTGTGTGTGTGAGAGAGAGAGAGAGAGAGAGAGAGAGACAGAGACAGAGACAGAGACAGAGAGACAGAGAGAGAGACAGAGAGACAGGGACAGACAGACAGACAGACAGACAGACACAAAGACAGACAGACACAAAGACAGATACAGAGACACACAGAGAATTTATAGTCTCATAAAAACACTGCTGATATGAGTATAAATTATTCATAGTTCACAGATAAAGAAACTGAAGTTCAGTTATGGCAGAGGCCAGAGTCAAGCTGGGTCAGTCTGGCCTCTTCTCCACTCTTCCAAACATTTCTCTAGCCCGAGGATGGCTTTGTCTGACCAGCTCAGGCCCCCAGTGCTGGAAACACTGGTGTTTCACAGCCCTATTTAATGTCACACAGGGCAGGGATAGACAGCTTAGCAGCAGGCATACTGTACTCTCTCTATCAGGACTCTACCAACTGTTTCAGGTTTAAAATTCTGTCACCCACTAATGGGGGAGAAAGTCAGAAAGAAGGATTCCAGAAGAATTCTCTAACAGCATCTACACAGAGTGATCCTGGCATTAGCAGACATTTGTTAAATAGTAGTCTCTTACATAGCTCTAGATATTTTGCATATATTAATTTGATTAGCCTTACATAAACCCTGCATGGTATATACTGTCATTATGTCTATCTCAAACATGAAGGGACTGGAGGACAGATGGGGCTCCAGAATTGTCACCAGCCACATGGTGAATAAGGAGTAATACCCAGCTGTAAAGCCAGGTAGCCACATATCATAGATGACCACACTTGATGATCTCAGGAAAGCTCGACCACCAGCTATCCCAAACTGAAGCAGCCCCATCTCACACACATCCTGACAGCCATGTCTTAGCATGTCTGATTTTCACCATACAGACTACAAAGATATGGCCTCTTATTTTCTGCTTCTGGCTGTACAGAAAACTTTAAATTGCACTTCTAATGCTGTTCTGTGTCCCAGGGAACATGCAAGAACTGTGTGTCAAATCCCTACACCTCTTCTAATGATGGCTTTAGGAAAGACAACCACATCTTCAGGGATAGGGATTGACTCTGCCTCACTAGGGAATTTTAGCAAACAATTCATTCCTTTTATTTATTTTTTCTTTTTTGAGACACAGTTTCCCTGTGTAGCCTTGGCTGTCCTAGAACTTGCTCTGTAGACCAGGTTGGCCTGAACTCAGAGATCCACCTGCTTCTGCCTCCCAAGGGATCAAAGATGTGTGCCACCACCACCTGGCTCATCCTTATTATTTTAAAGAGTCAAATTATCTTTTGTGTAACCACCTATCATCCATCATCTATCTGTTAATACATCTATCTATACAACACACACACACACACACACCTATCCAAAAATCAAATGAGCAGCATAGAAATGAATATGAAGTAAGTCAGCATCACTGGTGGAAAGTTCCAGATACAGGAAAGGTGAGATACAAGTGAAACAAAACAAAACATGACAAAATAGAACACAACAGGACGTAACGGAATTGTATTTTCTTTAAGCAGTCTATCAAAACATCTCAAAACAATCAGAAAAGAAACAGTATTTTAATTATTGCACGCTGATGAGGCTAAAGACAAAGCCCCTGTGATGATAGGGTATATAAAGGAGCCAAGGCTAGCCTACCTGTCAGAAGTCTGGAACACCAGGTCACACAGTTCCTCTTGAGACTAGAATCACCAACTGTCCCAGTGCCTGAACCTAAAGAATGTCTAGACACTTGGGGTCTTCATGTCAATCGGGGAGTCACAGAAACAGCCCATCAGGCATAGCTCTGGCACCCTGAACTTCCACCCCTGCTCTGGTTCAGACCTCCATGGCCTGCCAAGTCAAACATGCACTGGTAGCTCTGTGTGGACTTTCCAGCGGGTGCAGGCACTTCTGGTGGCTCCACATCTCTCCTCCAGTCTAAATACACTCAAACCTTCTGTCTTTATACACTGCTTAACCACCTCCCTACCTCTGCCCACACCAGTCGATTCAAAGCAACTAGTACCTCCCAAAGACCAGATCTCCTAACAGTTCTCTTCCGGGTAGATTACACTGCATGACTTACCTCTGCTCTTGCAGAGGAATGGAATCCAGGTGGTGGTCTCCAGGCAGTGCCATCATATTAATCCCAATCTGCAGCAATGCCTGCCCACAGCGGTCCGGACCCTGAAAAGACAGACCAGGATGGGTCTGTTAAGAGAGGAGGTACAGTGTCTTTACTTCTCAAATCTGGGTGGTAAGAAGCCAAAATAGATGAGAGAGAAGGTCTACTCAGCCTCTTCTTCTGAGCTGATTCACACTCTGATGTCCTCACACAGGTAAGGCGGGACTCAGATGTGACCTGTTTTCTAAATCTCTGGCTTACTGCAACCCCCTATGATCTTTCCCTTTGTCCTATTGTCAAATATTTACCCTTTTGGTATGTGACTGACATTGGGACACACAAGCCAGCAAATATTGTACAAGACATACACATACTTTAAAAGCAGCCAATGCATTCCACTTTAAATGACGTTATTTCACTTGGACAGCAAGCACAAAGCTCAGGCTGTGACCTACAGCTCAGTTCAGGTCATTGAGTCATGACAGAGTAAATCTTAGGAAAGGTTTTCTTTCTCTAAGCGAAGCACCAGAAGAGAGAGTCAGTCTCCTATTAGACCCAGAAGATAACTCACTTCTACTTTAATAAGAGCATTGTACAGTCATGAGAGGAGCTAACTGCAGAACGGAGTTGATGTGCAGAGAAAAAGTGTCTGGATCCCAGATCACGGACTCTCTGTAGTCAGGCCCACCTCTACACTTCCTGCATCTAAGATCATATCAATTCTTGTCGGTTAAGTCAGTGGACATAAAGGTCTCTGTTCTCCTCAGCCAATAGCGTACCAGTGGAAAGAAGTGAATGGTTTAGAGACTTCCCATCCTGGAGCTGAGAGTGCACTTGGCTTTCTTGAACCTCACATTAACATGTTACATGGTCAGTCTTCCTCCCTCATAAACTAACTGCCCAACTGTTGATCTCCTCTGACATCTCTCCTACATTCCTTTTTCATTCCCCCTGTATAGTGGGCCTCTAATCCAAGCAGAGAGTAGATAACTACTGTTTTAATAGCAATACTATTACTCTGGTAGACATATCTTACCAGGCAGGTCCTTGTTGTAGCTCATGGATGCACAATCGTATAGGAACATTGATGATATTTTTCCTCCCTTAGCAGCTTAAATAGCACCATCCAACATTATGAAAGTGAACTAGCAGGAAGGAAATTCCAGCTCAGATCAAACTTGATTTCTCAATGTCTTATGACCAAATGGATGGGGTCTTCAGCTATTGGGTTTTACAATCTCATTCCAGTGGGCAACCAAGAACATTGGCAATTGCCCATAGTGTTCTGGGTCAAGGAGACCCTAGAAGGCCCTAGAACACAGAGAATACAAAGGAAACAACCAGTTTCCCAGGGTAAAATCTAATTGTGATGAAATGACAGCAGGAGAACATTCTATCTTACTTCTATCTTTATCATGAAGAAAACAGGAAAAAAAATTGAAGAGGGAATTGTGGGGCAGTGGACTGTGCCACCAGACAGAAGAACTGGTAAGGTAGTAGTGAAGTTTAGAACTCCAATAAAACTCATAATTGAGAATTGCAAGTGCCCAGACTACCTCCTGATGAGAGACCATTGATATCTCTGTAAAAAGACCATGACATCCCACTAAGACCATGATAATGAGTCACATAACATAGAACTAAGCCAGAGCACCCACAAACCGGACTCATCACAAACCTTTGGCCCCCTATTCCCAAATTCTCAAGATCCCCAGCAGTGTCTGGGTGCACAGGAGGATGGTAGGCCCCATTCTCAAGTCCTTTTGGTTCCTAGTGGCATCTGGATGCCCAGGAGTTTGACAACCACAGCCTCAGTCCCAGCACCCGCCATTTATCAGCTGGAGAAACATGGGCCGCGTCCCCTATCTTAGACTGCGCTTCACCTCCTCTGAGCAGTGTGTTGTCTCAAGAGCCTGATACCCCAAAGACAAGGCAAAACACAGACCCACAGGGAATTCAAACCTATGGTAGGTTAGAAGACTGGAAGGAAGATGGTTGACAAGCATCAAGGTCCTTTACAGTATAAACTGAAGGATTCTGCAAGCCAAGAAAAGGAGGCCCTAGAACACTAGAGGAAGCACTGGATTTGATTCCATTGAATCTGAGGCACCCCAAGGAAGAACAATAGGTATGAGTAGAAACCTAGAAGCAGATAAATGTTTGAGTTTCTCTTACAAGATTCCAGAAATCTGGATTGAAGACCACAACGTTCTGGCAGCCATTTCTCATCCACTATCTGTGTGTCTTCAGACAGGAGTAGTGGGTGTTTCATTCACAGATGCCCAGCAGTGATGTAGGTGGGGCCCACAGGCCAACAACCCTTCATTAGGGTGTTCTCTTGCATCCTGTGTCTTTTCATAGGCTGGGATGCCCCTTGGGGACAAATGAAACTCTTATGTATCAATAACCTAGTCAGAAGCTCTATTTTAAGACTTCATTTTCAGGGTAGGAATAGGCACAGGATCCTACACAATGAGCACCACACAGTCAGGGGTCTCTGTAGAGCCATAGCTTTCACTCATGGGGATGACAAACAGATGACCGAGACTATCTAGAAGACCAGATGGTAAGGTAAATACCAGAAATTCTGCCTACATGATGTTTATGAAGATTCCATAACAATTTTAATAGCTAATATTCATGGAGCATGAACTGTGTTCCAGGTGCCCTTTTAAATGCTTCATATATGATTAATTCATGGTATATTATCCTGTTATAGAGAAGTATGTACTGAAGACCGCACACTAAAATTCTCATCTGAGACTGGAAGACTGGTGCTGAGCACATGAAGATGATGAGAAGCGTGACTCCATTCCCCAGAGGTTATGCCCATCTCCAAAGGCCTTCACTAAAAGCCCCAGCTAAAGTATCAAGTACGGCTGCTACCCTTACCCTTAGTAGTGAGAACTGTTCAGAATGCAGCTCTCACAGAATTTCTCCACCAATTTCTTCACCTCCTTCTGATGCTTACATATTTCCAGCATCCCAAAGCGCTAAGTCTCACCCATCCCCTGAGCAAAGGTTCACAGAGTAAAGAGCAATCCAAAGCCACGTTGTCTATCAGAAAACTGAGAACAGATTCAAAGGGACACCCTGCTTCTTACTAGTTATAAAAGAGAGAGTCTAAACAAAGTGGCTGAGCAATTCAAACCTTGACTCCACTTAATTAGCACATGACTTTGGAAAATCAGCACCCCTCTATGACAGTGGTTTCCTCAACTGTATCTACTCCAGAAACTCTTTGTGGATTAAGTACAGGCAAAGGGCTCCGATACTGTGCTTGGGCAGGTGAATGAGGGTATATCCTTTTTCTCAGGAAATGGAGCTGAGGAATGTAGATGAGGTGGAAAGAGCACATGGAGATGTAAACAGGAAGGAGGAATCTTCTGCCCCCACTACTTCGTTGCATGGATTCTGTTGTATCCTTTCAGTCACTGTGTTTTCCTGGGCACTGTGTCTCCCACACTATGAGTGTCTGTTCATGAGGACTTGAAGCCTTGAGTATCTCTGACTTAATTAAACTCAATAGATCAATTTAGTTGGCTTAGTTCTGTTCCCAGTTCCCATTATAAGCAGCCTTTCCTCCTTTCCACTTGACTAAGGTGACTGGTCTCCTGCAGAAAGTTGAGACTATTTACAGTAAAGTATTCCACTAGAACCAGCAGCAAAGGACATTTCTGCTCTTGTCTGATGGGACAATCTGGGGACAGCTCACAGCACAGCTGGGATTGTTTAATCTAGTGAGTTCTGTACAACTGACCACATGGAAGAGACAGTAAATACTGTGGAAAACACTCAGTTCTGGAAGTAGTGCTAGGAGGCTGCCTGGGGGAGGAGGGCTATCAGATACGCTCTGGTGCCTCTTTCTCCAAGACTTCAGAGTACACAGGCTGCAAGTGATGGAACCATCTTGACAACCCACTCTTTCTGTCAATCTACCGTTAGAGCTAAAACATCTCTTAGAGAATATGGCTTCATTCAGGAAGCAAATAGGACTTTTCTAGTGCCTCCATATCTGTTTGCTATCTGCAGAATGGAAACCTTGTAATATTGTTGGCATTAAGATAACTCAAGGACAAACATTGTTCCTTTGATCTTTAACATATGCCCCTTCTTCCTACATTTGAGGAATAACCCTACCATTATGAATTCTCATGAGAGAATATACAAACAAAAGACTGGGCATTTGTATCCTGAAGCCTGTACAGCAGTAACAAATACAAGTCAGCCACTGGAGAAGTTTGGGTGAGAAAGTGGAATGGTTAGAACGGAGCTTCAAAGCTGTAGATGGACTCCAGCAACGGAGAGCAGCACCAGAAGATGACGGAAGCTTCCAGAGAGAGCACTAGAATCCTGGAAACATGGGAGGAAAAGAAAAAATAAAGAAAAGCTTTCCAGGTAACAATGAATCTCCTTCAACTTGGGGCCTCAGATCTGGGGTAAGAATGGGGGTAGTCATGGAGCTATCCCTGAGTCACTAGCTGGGATGCCAGGCATCCTGCAGCAATCAGATACTTCAAGGACTCTCATTCCCAGGGGAGGTGCAAGAAACCAAGCAAGCTGCCACCTGGCCCTGCCTAACAGACTGAGTCTCATGAAATATAGAAAGCTCTGGCTCCCTGGAGAAAGCCGTGGTGGCTCCTTACAGCTGTCAGGCCACGGGGGCCAAGAAGCAGGCAGAACAGACCTCAGGACTCACAAAACAAGTCTTACCCTCTCTAGTCCTCCACAGCCCTGTGTGACACAGAACAGCTTCAGCAAAGCACACACAGGGTCCCAACCCTCTGCTTGATGAACTGAATCTGACTACCTTCAAGACTTTGCCTAAGAGGCCACAAAAATTCTGTCTATAAAACTGTATCTCAAACTAGTCAGGACAGAGACTGTGGTGACCAGGGACAAACAATTCAGTCTTCCTAGGGGACCTTAAATCACACTTTGAGGATATTAGAACGTATGGGAGTCTGGGGGACCAGCAATAACCATGAAGAGAGGAGCTGGAGAAACACTAATGGCTGCAAGACACTGTTCTAAACACTGTACACTCAGTCTTTAGAAGAGTTCCCTGAGTTAAATCACTATGTCATCCGTGTTTTTCAGGTGACAGAAACAGGGAAGAGGCAGAACAGACCTCAGGACTCACAGAACAAGTCTCATCTCCTCTAGGCCTCCACAGCCCTGTCTGATTTGCATATGAAGAGACAGGTTCACAGGGAGGAAGATCAAGATTGGTAAAGATCACAGCTATGCTTCAGACATGTACACACGTCCGCATCCCGTAAACTGCTTGTTATCGCCCAGAAAATCCCAATAAGCTTTGCCTGGGAGAGAGCTGTAGGAAGACCAACTGAGGCCTCATTGTCTGCAGGAGAAAAATCAATGGAGCTTTGGTGATCAGTTATAAGTCCGATATATCCATGCCTGCTTTTATGATTTGCTATGGTTATCAAGGACAGGAAAGCAGAGTAGTGAGAAAAATAAATGCAAGGGTCCTGATTGCATACTGTCCTTTGGAGTAAGACAGACCAGATAAGTTAGCTCAGGGATGTGTTTGTATCTCTAGAGAGAAAGAAAAAAACATTGTGTACTTGTTAATTTGATGTTACCTTGACACAAGCTAGTCATCAGAGAAGAGGAAGCCCCAATTGAGAAAATGCCTCCGTAAGATCCAGCTATAATGCAGTTTCTTAATTAGTGATCAATAGGGGATGCCCCAGCCTGTTGTGGGTAGTACCATCCCTGGGTTAGTGGTCCTAAGGTCTATTAAAAAGATCAAGCCGAGCAAACCACAGGGAGAGAGACAGTGAGCAGCATCCCTGCATGGTCCTGCCTCCATATCCCTACCCTTACCGCTTTTGATAATGAACTGTTATATGGGACTGTGGGTAAAATAAACTCCTCCCCAAGTTGGTTTTGGTCATGGTATTTCATCACAGCAAGAGTAATTCTAACTAAGACACATAGAATCAACATCAGGATGTCCTACTGGAACACATGTTTCCCAATGCCTGGTTTATACACCACCCATTCTCTAAATGACATTACTCATCCAAGAAAATCACCATGAGGTCTCCACAAAACATCTTGTGTAGAATCAGAAAACCCATGGCTGCCTCTATGGTGTATCTTGAAATACAGCCCCCCTGGTTCCGGGGCACTGATTACCCAGCTTCCCTGTGCTTTGGAAACTGAACAGGAGCCTAATGTTCCTGGCATTTAAGCTGGGGATTCTTGCCAAAGGTTATAACTGAGGACTGACAACCTGAACACTGAGACCTGAGGTGGAATATTCCCTGCAAAGGGGCTTGCCTTGGCTTTTGAGCCTTGCCTACCAGAGCTCTGTGAACTAAGAATATACATTCGGGGGTTAGATTTCCAAGTTCACTAGTGTGTGACTTTGGACCTCAGGTTATATTTTTCTATAAGAAAGAATACATAATTAGAATAAAATGAGAACTCTGTATATACCAGTGGGGGACGAATATATATATATGTGTGTGTGTGTGTGTGTGTGTGTGTGTGTGTGTATCTTTTGGTACAAGCACATAAATACAGAAAGAAGCCAGAGGCCATTCTGACAACTCAACTCTAAGTATTCAAAGGCCTTTATATCTTCAAACTTTAAATGATTACTTCTTACTTTCTAACTTCCCCTGATATAAATATTATCCAACTTCTCAAATGCTGCTTATCTTTGATTTGCAGAGGAGAGAGACCTTCCCCGCTGGGCCCAGATCCCAAGGTGCTAAAATTAACCATTACCATGTTCTAAGCTAATGACTTACTGGTTGTAACTGCCATGAATAGACATAACTCTCAGATAAAGGCCATTAGAGAAAATTGAATAGCTCCAATGTAGTGAAAATTTGGATACATCTTATTTCATAAATCACATTCAGAGGTCACACTGGGCAAGCTATTTCCCTTACTGAGTCATGCTGAAGACCCAAGTTGAAGGGGTCTACATACTCTTGAGAAGGAGGACATAGGAAGGAGAATTTACAACATCTTATATCTTCATGGATGCATTTTTTCTTTCTTCTTAGTTCATGAAAGGATGATAGCACAACACCAACAACCAGGATGAGCCAGGCTCCACTAATTCCTTCCCCTCCTGACCCTCTGCACTGGAGTTTACTATGTGACCTTGATAGCGCAGAACACAAAAACCACAAAAACCCATGACTGCTTCCACTTCAGCTCCTCTGATCTTTGGATTTTTTTTTCATCTATAAAATCATACTGAAACCTTTCCTGTGTTGTTAGATTATACAAGAGCATAGTGCCTATATGACACTTCAGAAGCTAATAACAATCTAAGTAAGAATCTATATCTATCCTGACCCCAGAAGCCAATTAATGAGATACTACAAGAGAAGTTTCATGGCATCCCTCCATGTGCCTGATTTCTTACCGAGATGTCAAATATCTGCTTTCTCCCCCAAAAGGCTAATGTATTGGAAAGAAGCAAAGGAGATTTGAATATAAAGAAAAATTAGTACATAGAAATTGGTTACTGTTTGAAAACTCAAGTTTCTATCAGGATGTATAAAAATCTAATAGCCCATGTGTTAGCACTGGAGGTAGAGTCTAGGGAGCCAAATAATCATGAGAGTGAAATCCCTGAAGATGGATGAATACTCTTATATAAAAGGCTCTCAAAAATGGGTTTGCTATCCTGATCATTCCATCTTCTGCTACTTCTGTTCTTTCTCCCCTCCGGAGGATGCAACACTCAGAGATCATCTTGGAAGCCTCTCCAGATACAAAAGGGGTTCTTGATACTAGATTTTCTAACCTCACACTGTGAGACAATACATTTCTGCATATTATAATACAGTCTTGGCATTTGGGGATAGTAGCATAGGACAGAAAGCATGCTTGGAATGAACACAAACACTAAGATATTTCTGTGATTAAAATCATTAGCCCTAAAGAAACAACTACTACCCCAGCTCACACCCTGTGTGACAAAAGGATTATGGGACATTCAACAGAGAAGTAAATCTGAATCAGAACCTTGGCTCAGTCACAATGGTAATATGTTCTCACCAGCTTATTAGTGAAAAGAAATCATAGACAAGATGTAACCAACTCAGAGGCTTGACTCATTCTGAGTTTATAAACAGAATAAGCCAGGGCATGGGCAAGCACAATCATCCTCAACATGCTACTGACATTGCTTTAATGTACATAACTAAAGAGTCCTTTAAAGGGACCCTTTAAAAAATCCCCTTTTAAGGGAATGTGAGATACACTGTCTGCATCTGCCTACTCAAGTTAACTATATAGACCTCAAACACGAAGGCCAGAACTCTGTAGAATGCTGCATTAACAAGATTCATCACTATTTCTAGTCCACCACATGTCACAGCAACACTTAAGCAGTGCCTACAGTGGAGTAAGAGCTCAATCAGCGTGAGGGTGGCCTTGAGTGAAGCCCTATCCACTCTGAGACTTTGAATCTGTCCCCAAGATGGCCATCTCTGCTCTCACACATCCATGCATAATAACAGCCAATATTGCTCCAGCCATGCAATTCTAGGAGGAGTTTTGGCATACTCTAACCAATGGTAGCTTGCCGTAGTTAGACTGGAGCCATCTTTACTTTTTAATGAAGCAGTGGGGTGTCTTTCATTTTATTGTATCTTAAATGCAATGAGCTGTTGTATCTGGCACATAACTAGGTGCCAAGAAGGTTTCTAAATATTTTGAATAAATAAGCACATTTACACCCCAAACATCTAAAACAATCAGTGCCACTGTTATCCCTACTTCAGAGAGGTAGAAGGGACAAAAGAACTCCTTTAATTCGATAGCTTACATGGTTAAAAAGCTGAGCAGGGATAAAAACACCATCTTCTCTGCCAATCCTCCATGGTTTATCACCATTTTTCAGCAGCTAATTTTTAGTTAGCAACAGAGCCCATTTATCTATCTATTTTTTCTTTCTTTCTTTCTTTCTTTCTTTCTTTCTTTCTTTCTTTCTATTTGTTTATTTTAGAGCCCCTTCTGTTGGGAGCCGACTCCTAGCAGAAAGCAGCTATCATCTTTGCAGCCATCTCAGACCATATACCCTGACAAGAGACTTGTTTTCAACAGCCCACAACAGTTGAGCACACTCTGATAAACATCTTGTTTTTCTCACATGTCTTGTTTTGCTGCTTAGTGCCACCAGCTGCAAGGTACACACGGTCTCCACGGCTGCAAGGCGCATGTGGCATAGTACCTTCAACTGTGTTCCCCTGCTTGTCCACGAGGGCACGGCACGTGGTAAAGCGTACAAATACTCAGGATTTCCTTTCAAAAAAGGGAGATTTGAACAGACTCTCTGTTTTGTCTCCATTCTTCGCGTCTCTTGCCCCTCCATCCCCACTCTCTCTCTCTCTCTCTTGCTAGACCCTGACCCATGGACTGGAGCAGCAGATCGGGCCAGGACACCCTTTCTTACACAGAAAACTAGCATTATGTTTTTAATTCCAGTAAAATGATAGATCAGATAGTCTAAATAGTTCTCCATGAAAACTGATTTAAGCATTGAGATATTTATAGGCATCAGTTACTACTCTTGTTTCTGTGACAAAATACCTGACAAAGCAACTTAAAGAATTAAAAGGTTGGTCTTGCCTCATGTGTGTCTGTGCAGCCATCATAGGATGTGTGCAGCCATCATAGGATGTGTGCAGCCATCATAGGATGGCTATAGGTAGGAGGTAGGAGGTCACAGTTTCAGAAGAACAAGGCTCATGTGTCCACAATCAGAAAGCAGAGTGATGGACTCAGCTGGCTTTCTCCTTCTTTTCCTTTTTTATTCAAGTCCAGAGCTTAGACCAAAGGATGCTGCTACCAACATTTAGAATGAGTCTTGGCCCCTCAACTAAACCACTTTGGAAATACATCATAGACAAGTATCTCCCAGAATCTTCTGAATCCATTGATGCTGACAATAATGATGAACCACTTTAGGGCCTTAAAAATATATCACTGATCTGGCAAAAATAAAAATAAAGATAAATCTGGAAAGGCCAAAATAGAATGAGCTATCAAAGGGAGTTCTCCATTGATAGCATCCGTGAGATGTCACAGCCATCAAGCATGTGTTTCTTTTGTGTGGGGGGCTAAGGGGGAGGTACTAAAGCCTAGGGATTCACCAAGAGGAAGAATCAAATACAAGTCCAGAAGAGAAGAAACGCAATGCATAGAAAAATGAGAAATGAACCTCCTCTGCAAAATGTCAACTGTAAAAGCCAAGAATTAATCACCGTGGCATGACCCCCATAGAAGCTGCGAGCTGGCTTTGCATCGCCTGTTAGGGAACTGATGACAGAGCTCAATTAGAAAATTTCATTCCAAGAAACAAAATAGAGTTCTTGGAAACATATTCAAGAAACAAAGGCTACAAATTATAGTCATGCAGCTCCATGAAAGAACCAAAAAGAATTAAAAGATGTAATGGTGTGTCAAATGATAGAACAAAGGAATTATCCAAAATGCAGCTCAGAAGACATAATTTTAAAATGAGAAAACTAAGGCCAAGGGCAAAAAGTGGCATAGTCTAGTGAGCATTTTATCACTGTTCCAAAGAAGGTAAGAGAGCACATGTATGAAGCAGCATTCAAAAAGAGTAGCTTTCAAATCCAGAAATAACAATGAGTATCAAACAAAATAAATACAAAAGGTGCATGCATATTAGAAAATTTAAAAAAGGCTAAAGAACATTAAAGACAACGAAGATTTTTGGAAATACCCAAAGGTAAGCAAATGCCACTGCACAATGGTTAGCATACTAGACTCATCCAGAGAAAAACAGGTATTAAGTGAATAGAACTGCTAAGCATCCATGAGTGTGTACAGAAGCATGTGTACCTGCGCACACACACATACAGACTACACACACATACCACACACAT